TGGTCCCGCCTCTCAGCTGTCAGTCAATTGGTGTACAGGTTCCTGAGCCTACTGGGCTCTATCATATCTACACTTGAAACTGTGTATGGAGTCAGCCTCCACCTGCTTGATGGGGTTCTGGGAGTTTTAATCCCCAAGCCCGGCCCGAGGCCAGACTTGACTTGTGAGAGTTTGGTCCACCAGGCTGTTGCTTGGAGCGGCCCGCAGGCCCACATACCCACCACAGTCCGGTTGGTCCGGCACTCCTTGGAGAAAATGATCTAGTTTTCTCTTGAAGATGTCTACGGTTGTTCCGGCACAACCGGTTGTTAGGTACTCCTGTATTCATTGGAGTACCTTACCACTTACTCCTTAGGAAATGCATATGTTTATCTCTCAGAATGTTAGGTAATACGTTTATTGCTCGTAATATGTGTCTATGTATGTATTAACACGATGTACTGAACGAGGTGAGAATAGCTTGAGCTACCTCATCCCTTTGTGTGTATTTTACCTCAATAAACTTATTTCAATTTCACTTACTCCTTGTTTTTCCAACCTGTACAACAGTCTTCTATAGGGTACTGTATCAAAAGATTTCTGACACTGCTCACAAAGTTATCTTCTAGTCTACCTACTATCACACTGTGTTCTCACATCCCCTTCATCAAAGGTTAGATTCTGTCGGGTAGATTTGATAAAGCTCCCTCGGGCAAAAAGTCATGTTTAGTTAAGCCTATTCTCAGCCACCCTTCCCTTTGACCCATATATAGCTTCTAGTTTCCATCATGTCCACTTTCCCATTCAGAATATCGCTATTTTCTACACTATCGGTCTTCCTGTAGATTTTGTATATCGTAACCACGTCACCTCTCCCTTTTCCAGCGTTGTAAGATGGAGTTCTTTCAGTATTTATATATAGTTCATTCCCCTTAAGTCCAGGACCAGCATTGCAGCAGTCGTCTGTATTTGGTACAGCTGTGTTTGTCTTGGACGAACGTCACGCTAGAGCCGCTTACTCTTGTAATAGTCTCACGTACGTGCTGTATATACAGTGTTGTGAACGCTTCATCCAGGTTTGTGAAGGCTGAATTGTTGTTCGGTAGGCGTCCCGCGATGCTACATTGTTTATATGTTTCTCTAGAACAAGGTTCAATGTTTCGTCTTTACCTGAGTCCGGGTCCTTTGTCGCTGCTGCGTTGCATCGCCCTCAACATTGTGTGTTGCTCTTTCTTTTATTATCTTACCGTTCCCAGTCTCGGTACTTTGCATTTGCTGGGGTTAAAATCGAGTAGCCATTTTCTGGATAATGTCTAAATTCCACTGAAGATAGTTCTCGAACATCGTTGTCTTTCTCAGTCCTAAATGACACTTTAGATAACCGAGTGAAGATTTATGAAGATTAAGCCACCCAAAAGGTGGCACACGGGCATGAATAGCCCGTAAGTGGTGGCCCTTTTGAGCCATTACCAGTATCAAGAGCTGATACTGGAGATCTATGGAGGTGCGACTGCACCCTGCGTGACGGGAGATGTCTCCCGTCTTTAGATAACCTTGGAGGTCATTATACATGTATGACCATGTCATTATACACTGGTATACATGTCTGCTGCCTGTCTGGTCTTCCTGCGTCTGCCTGGTCACCACAGAGGCTGAGTTCTGCCTCACAGGCAACAGTGTCCGTGTACAGTTTTAATAGAACAAATGTAAACTGATGTACCTGTATGCTAATTCAGTATCCTATAGTATAGTGGTCTGCGTTCGTGACTCAACCCAGGATTCCGGGTTCAATTCCCCGGCGGTCAGAAATAATTGAGTACATTTCCTTTCACTTAAGGAAATTTTTGGAAAGGAAAGAAAGGCTTGCGCTTAAGGAAATTAAGGCTTGCGCAGGAATATCCCTGCAAAAAGAAAGAAAAAAACTTAAGGCTTGTGTTCACCTAGCATTAAATAGGTACCCAGGAGTTAGGTAAAGGCAGCTGTTGTGGGTTGCACTCTAAGGAAGGTCAGAAGCTGACGTAGGAGGACCTCGATAAGCCTTAGTACACGATTCCTGTCCCTAACAATGGGAATTATATATTGTTTCTAAGATTGGTTTTTAACTCAAACATTTGAGTTTTTTATTAACAAGCTTAGGTATACACAGCAATGGGCCTGGTAGCCTGGTGGATAGCGCGCAGGACTCGTAATTCTGTGGCGCGGGTTCGATTCCCGCTCCAGGCAGAAACAAATTGGCAAAGTTTCTTTCACCCTGAATGCCCCTGTTACCTAGCAGTAAATAGGTATCTGGGAGTTAGTCAGCTGTCACGGACTGCTTCCTGGTGTGTGTGTGTGTGTGTGTTGGAGAAAAAAAATAGTAAACAGTTGATTGACAGTTGAGAGGCGGGCCGAAAGAGCAAAGCTCAACCCCCGCAAACACAACTAGGTGAATACAGCAATGTGCCGCTACACTAATATGTATGAAAGATTACACAGTGTAGATATAAAAAGAAACAGCTACAATCTCATCCAACATCCCCACCTCACAGGAGAGCCAGTCATACGTGGAATCAGAAGAGAATATAAGGCTGATCTATTAGCCTCCACTAGCAAAATCTGGGTACTGTACAAGAATATCTTCCAATATTCCTAAGTGTATGAAGTAATTACAGAGCTCAAAGTACTTCATACCATTTGGTCTGAACTGATAACAGGGCAGTCACAGATATAGTGTTGGAGAGTATGGCCTACCTCTTGTTTACACAGGTTACTGTTGGAATATTCACAAGTTATTCATAAAAAAAACTTCGGTTAACGTTTTCTTTAATGTATTTATGAGTAACTACACCAAAATTAATATTTTACAAACGATCAGATTCATATACTGTATAATTAATGTATAATATTAATTTTTGTCGGGAGACAGGCAGCCAGTGTATTCACCTGAATTTACCTGAGGGTCACTAATACTAGTGAAGGTAGTATAAGGTAGTATTAGTCGAGGCTACTAATACTAGTGGCCTCGACCTTTTACTTCCCCTCCCACTATACCACAGATCTTAGTGTCATCTGCAAAATTGATGATGTGCCTAATATGTATCATGTTAGGCTTATATCAAGGTTCCACCAAAGTCGAATTATTGACCTTTCCCAGGACGCAACCCCACAACAAGCTGACTAACTCCTGGGTACTTATTTAAGGTAGGTGAACAGACGCATTAGGCGATAGGAAATGCGCCCAGTCATTTCGGTACCGGCCGGAATTCGAATCCACAATTTCAAATTATGAGTTCAGAACGATCCCGATTGTACTTGTCGGGGACAGGAAGCCTGTAGGCTGCATCTTTGTATGTTCCTGTAGTCCAGCTATTGACCTTCCCCAGGCTGCAACCGACAACAGTGCCTGACTCCCTGGTATCTATCTACTTCTAGGTGAACAGTTGCATCAGATGAAAGGAAACGTACATGACGTTTCTGTCCCTCATGGGGACTGAACCCGGGTCCCACTGTTGTGAGCCGAGGACATAGATATTCCAGGGAAAATTAGATTTTGATTTAGATTTTTTATTCAGCTAAAGGTACATCCATTGAGTTACATACATAATGTTGGATTTAAAGATAGAGATAGTACATACAATACCTAAAGCCACTAGTACGCATAGCCTTATTTCAGGATAATTAGTATTAAGGACTTGCCCGAAACGCTACGCGTACTAGTGGCATTACAAGAATGCAAAAACTCTTGTATATATCAATAATCTCACCAACCCATTGTTATTTCTCGTGAACAAATTATTATTATATTATCATTATAATTATTATTACTAATTTTATAATAATAATTAGTATTAAAATCTAGACCACCGGCAGAGTCAACATTAGTTTACAGTCTCCGTGGTGTAGTGGTAAGACACTTGCCTGGCGTTCCGCGAGCGCTATGTCATGGGTTCGTATCCTGGCCGGGGAGGATTTACTGGCGCAATTCCTTAAGAACATAAGAACATAAGAACATAAGAACAAAGGTAACTGCAGAAGGCCTATTGGCCCATACGAGGCAGCTCCTATTCTATAACCACCCAATCCCACTCATATACTTGTCCAACCCGTGCTTGAAACAATCGAGGGACCCCACCTCCACAATGTTACGCGGCAATTGGTTCCACAAATCAACAACCCTGTTACTGAACCAGTATTTACCCAAGTCTTTCCTAAATCTAAACTTATCCAATTTATATCCATTGTTTCGTGTTCTGTCCTGTGTTGATACTTTTAATACCCTATTAATATCCCCCCGGTTATGTCCATTCATCCACTTGTAAACCTCTATCATGTCACCCCTAACTCTTCGCCTTTCCAGTGAATGCAACTTAAGCTTTGTTAATCTTTCTTCATATGAAAGATTTCTAATTTGGGGAATTAACTTAGTCATCCTACGCTGGACACGTTCAAGTGAATTTATATCCATTCTATAATATGGCGACCAAAACTGAACTGCATAATCTAAATGGGGCCTAACTAGAGCAAGATATAGCTTGAGAACCACACCAGGTGTCTTGTTACTAACGCTGCGATTAATAAATCCAAGTGTCCGATTTGCCTTATTACGAACATTTATGCATTGATCCTTTTGTTTTAAATTCTTACTAATCATAACTCCCAGATCCCTTTCGCTATCCGACTTCGCAATCACAACACCATCTAGCTCGTATCTTGTAACTCTATCATCATTACCTAACCTCAGAACTTTACATTTATCAGCATTAAACTGCATCTGCCAATCCTTTGACCATTTCAAAACCCTATCTAGATCAACTTGAAGTGATAGTGAGTCCTCCTCCGAATTAATTTCCCTACCGATTTTCGTATCATCGGCAAATTTGCAAATGTTGCTACTCAAACCTGAATCTAAATAACTGTAGCCTCTGTTTAACGCAACAGTAAAATGTGTACTTGGATGAAAAAACGATTCTTCGCGGCAGGGGATCGTATTCCAGGGACCATAGGATTAAGGACTTGCCCGAAAAAAAAAAAAAAAAAAAAAAAAAACATAGAAAATGTAACGTCGGTTACACATCAGTAACGACCAGCTGGCGCGCGGTCTGTGCTGTTGCTGCCCCTAATCCCACAACAATAACAAATAACTAAATTACGTCCATTTCCGTCATCACTCCTACATCAACTGGTAATATCAACAACATTCAAGCCTTGGGATTTCGTTCTATTGAGGGAGTTGTACATGCTATAGCGGGGTGTCCACTTACAGGATGAGTGGCGCTGCCCAATAAACTCGTCCCTCGGGGCAAAATTTTAAATTTAATTTAATAACGACGGGGTACATAGTCGTTTCGAGCACGAGACTATTCGACGAAGCTCGTCATTTATTTTGTAAAAAACTGTATATACTGTTAATGCATAATAATTCATTGTGTTGGGAGACAGTTTATATTTATGCACATTAGCCTTATATCGAGTTACAGACCCCAGCATGCAACCCCACAACAAGCTGACTCACTCCTGAGTACCTACTTGCTGCAAGGTTAACAGATGCATTAGGTGACAGGAAATGCACCCAACCATTTCTGTCCCGCCCGGGATTCGAACCCGAAATTCTCAATTGTGGATAGAACGAACCCGACTCTACTACAGGGACCCTTATTATGCTAGGATGCATTGTTAGTGTTAGGAAGTATTGGGTTAGGTTAGGTTAGGTTAGATTAGGTTGGGATGAGTTATGTTAGGTTTCAAAATCTATTGGCGTCTTATGTACTGTGACTTGGATCCATTGGAATATGGCCATTTCGGACGTGAGAGGAGAGAACCTTCACGCAAGCTGCACTTTTAAAGAAGTGTGAAGGAGGATGTTTACATTTTCATAACTTGAATTACGGCAGAAAAATTTAACATATTTAATTGGGCATGCAAAGTTGAAGAGGACGTCTTGAGTTCTCAACATAGGTGATGTAACTAGTTGACTAAAAACATGGACCTTGACATAATTCTGGTCATTGATATAGTTTGGGTAATATATTTTTTATTTATTTTTGGATTTATTTATATTTACGAGAGTTCTTACATTCTTGTACAGCCACTAATAGCATGCTTCGAGTTTCGAGCAGATCGTTAATCCTAATTTTCTCACACACACATCTCCAGGAAGCAGCCCGTCGCAGCTGTCTAACTCCCAGGTACCTATTTACTGCTGAGTGAACAGGGGCATCGGGGTGAAAGAAACTCTGCCCATTTGTTTCTGTCTCTGCTGGGGATCGAACCCGGACCCTTAGGTCTACAAACCCCAAGCGCTGTCCACTCGGCCGTTAGGCCTCCAAATATTGTAGTTACATCTTCATAATAGATTCTGATGTCATTAGATCAATATACCATAGTGTATTTTCCTATTATGCAATATTTGTAATAACTTTCTCTTAGTGGCCAGATACTTTGATTCTGTGCTGTACTGTAACTGTACCTTTAATTCTTAAATTTTGTAGGGCAGTATACAGTATATTGTCTAAGTTTAGTTGTCTTACTGAGCTTGTCTTGGCCTACGGAGGTAACCATTTTGCTAGTTATGCTGGGCAGCTTGTTGATTTTAAAGAATGATCTTCGAAAATGTTGTCACAAATTTCATTGAAAGGCTTTCACCCATGTCCTTAATGTTATTGTTGGTTATGTATCTTGAGGTTATCTTGATGATTTTGGGGCTTTAGTGTCCCCACGGCCCGGTCCTCGACCTGGCCTTCACCCCCAGCAAGCAGCTCGTGACAGCTGACTAACACCCAGGTACCTATTTTACTGCTAGGTAATGGGGGCATAGGGTGAAATAAACTCTGCCCATTGTTTCTCGTCGGCGCCCGGGATCGAACCCGGGACCGCAAGATCACAAGTCCAGTGTGCTGTCCACTCGGCCGATCGGTACCCTAATGTAGTTTATTTACCAAGTCACTAATTCTAATTGCTGCATCCATCACTGTGTGATGTAGATACTGTGTAGAAAATCTTACTTTCTGTTGCATAAGAGAGCAAAATGATGGTGAGTCAGTTGGCCACAGCCTTCTAAAATCACACCTAAAACAAATAAACCTAACTTATTCTAACTCTTGCCTAACTTACTATAACCATAACCTACACTTAACTAGTCTAATCTTCTGAGAGTGCATGAGCTCCAAAAAGTTAAATATACATGTTTATTTGGTACAGTATTTCGTGTATCAAACATTTTACATATTTGCCTCGGTGGTTGTATGCACTTCATAATGTTGTTGCCCTTCTATATTATAGTTGCTTTTCCATAAATAATTACAGAAAATAAACTGTAATATAAACATAAATATATTGTCTCTGTAGTTACATAGTTTCTTGGAATTTACCATGTAAAGTGTATAAAAATTAATTATCATACATTTGGGTCCCGGTAGTACAGTCAGGTTTGTTCTCGCTCACAGTTGAGAATTCCGGGTTCGACTCCTAGGTGGGACCGAAATGGTTGGGCATGTTCCCTATCATCTTATCCCCTGTTCACCTAGCAGCAAACAGGTACCCAGGAGTTAGGGGGAGAAACCTCGACATAAGCCAAACATATAAATACTGTACTGTATACAATGACTGCCCTCCAACACAATGAATTATTTTATATGGAAAATTAAAATCTTTTTCAGATTATATCCAAACCTTAAAATGAAGTTTCAACAGTATGAAGAAGTAATACAATTCATCAACACCAAGCCCAAGGGAAATGTAGTAGCAGCTCTTGTTCAAAGGTTTCCTGGGTAAGTACTCTCTCTAGCATCAGGTCAGATATTGGGCTAAACTGTTTTTTCACTGGGTATGTCTTGTTAGGGAATGAGGAGACACATTTTTCTAGTTGCATGCAGCCAGACACTGCAAATCACATGAAAACAAAAATGAACAGTAATATTGCCAACATTCTCTAGATATCTAGTGTAAGTTTAATGTATAAATGTACAGTACACTGTACTTGAAAGCTCATATTACATATGAGCTGTTAAGTACTCATCCACAAGTTTTGCTTATTCCTGGTGCCCATATTTTAAGGCAATTGGTTCATTGTAGAAAATTTATTGATGGGTAGACCTAGTCATTTATTATTTGCTGTAAGAAAAAAGAAATTGTCAGTAAATGGCAAAAAGATGGAAGAACGTGTGGGCTGGAATTTGTGGTTCAGTCCCAAGTTGTCCGTTCAAGCAAGAACAAGAACCACTAGAGGTCAGACACAATGGAAAGATTATGATTAGTGTGTGAGGCAACAGTTTAAGTGTCAGATTTGTAGTCCCAGTAAATGTAAAGTGAATTCAACAAAACTTATATTATTTATAATAAAAGTTACTTTTCCCTGGGATTTTGGTGTCAAAATGTAATGCTACATAGACATGTATGCATATTTTGCATTTATGAAACAATAATTGCAGCAAAATCTTGCCCCCCCCCCCCCCCCCAAAAAAAAAAAAAAAAAAAAATGGGTTTCATTGGAGAATCAGATGCACTGGAAGAATCTGAAACCAACCGATTTATTTAAAAGAAGATGGTATATCTTATTTCTTGCTTCAGTACCAGAAATTTTGCCCAGTTAGCCCATTTGATCACTGTAGGTAGTACATACAAGTGACAAACTTTTCCATTGCTGCCCACTGGATGAATGTGGTAGTGCATGATAGGCAAATTAAATTCCATATAATTGCCTCAACTAATAAGCTTTCACTCTTCATGTTTGGGCCTCTTTGGGCCATGAAAATGATAGTTTGGTAAACTGAAAATACTGTTGATTTATTTTTGTTAAATTATCTAACTTAGTTAGCTAAACAAATTTTGGGGTTCAGGAATTATGTGCCTCTGTAACTTTTTCCGCTGCTGCTCACAGGATGGCTACAGGGTGCATAACAAACTGTAAATAAAACTACTTTACAAAATTATTTCTTCTTGCAGAATTAAAGCAAAAACTTTAGGCAGCATTTGGGCCCAGGATATGCAACGAAAAGTAAAAAAAAATTTCCATCGCATTAATGTTCCAGAAAGAGCCAGTGAAATATACCGCAAGTAAGTCTACTGTGTATGCTGTTATGATTAGAAAATGTTTCTCTGGCAACCACCTTTATTTCAATTCAAATTATTTTACATGCAATCAAAATTTGTTTTACAGTATACGATTTTTACCTTAGTCCTTCGTGTTCAGCATTGTTAAGAGCTGTCCTGATACTCTGGTGCTAACTGATACGAATTACTCGTTTGTAAGGAAATACACTATTAATTTTGTAGCCCTTTATATGGTCTATAAAGGTTTATGGTCGGATCTTTAAAGACCATATAAAGGTCGATGAGGTCTATGGCCTCATCTGGGTGCAGCTGTGTACCATCCATTGTTTTCATACTACAGTACTGTATTTGGCATCCCTAGTTTTCATACTTGGTTCCCCAATGTTTGACCACATGAGTGTCTGGAGATTAGCATCCAGGAGTATCTGAGACAGGCGCCAGATATCCCAAACTTTGAAGGCTCATTTCTTGAGAATCACTGAGCATTAAGATCCTATATCAACCTTACAATAGTACCCTTGGGTGTTTTAAACATTCCAAACAATCCCTCCACCAAGCAAAAGAAAAGTGTTATTGTCTTCAGCAGCATGCATCACAATGACAAATTAATTCAGATTCAAAAGATAGGGGAATGTGAGTATACATCTAAATTAAATTACGTAAGCGACTTGAGTAATTTTTGGCGGAGACCCTTGTGATTCCCTGAAGCTACCATTTCCGATGTAGGTGCCATCAGTTGTGGAGTTCTACGTCGTACCAGGAAGAAAGCAGCCAGAACCTGGCCCCTGGTTCAAATGACTGGGTACTAGCTTAACCTTTTCATTGTTTACCTTTGGGAGTTCTGTGGCTGTTTTCAGGGCTGCAGGTTTTGGAGGCAGCCAGCTGTGGTTTGTTTTGACTTTGTCTTTCTGGGTGCCTTCCATGGTGGTGGCATAAATAAATAAATTAATATAACTATCACAGCTCCCTGCGCCTTTGTAAGGGGGGCCAGGTTCTGGCTCTTAGTTTCCAGTAGGCCGTAGAGCTCCGTGACTACACCTACATTGGAAATGGTAGCTTCAGGGAGCCACCGAGGCTCGCCCAGAAATTGGCATTTCATTACATTCAATGCTATTATTTTGTAATATTTTGTTCTGAGGTCAATAAATACCCCAGAATAATAATGAAGTTTGAACACCCAGGAGTGCTTATACTGTGTAGGGCTATCATGCAATGGTGGCTGATTTTGTACCAGTTTCCAGATACTATACACTACTTATAATGCAACTTTTTAGATGTCTAACCCATGTTACCCAATGGCTTAAAAACTGTAAATCTGCTTGTGAAGTAAAAGATAAAAAAATTATATGATCCCTTTGCATTTGAAGATAAAAAAATTTACGTGTATAATTTTCATAAGAACAGTCATCTGAAGCGTAGACAAATTAACTTCTTAATATTTATTTTAACAGCCTTCTTTTGGATACCTTTACTGTTTCAATTTTAGTATTTTTGTTCCTTACATTTTTTTTTTTTTTTAGGTTTCGTTCATGCACTAGTGGAGACGGTCTAGGATTCTTTTCAATGCCAATTTCCAGAAACTGGTGACTGGCCAGAGAAGTGACTTATCATAATATTTGTTACTTTTTCAGTTATGTATCATGTGTTGAGGCTGGTGATCCTCCTGGTATCTTGGTGAAGATGGCTGTAGCAATGGATTACTCGTCTTCTATGTTAGCCAAGCTGATCCTAGAGCAGTACCTTCATGCCAACTGCCCTGACATTTCAGGTAATGATACTTTTGCAAGTCTTTATATTAATTTATTATTTGTTTATAGCAGTTGAGTATAGACAAACTGTTCTCGGATAAGCTGACTGTTACAGAGAAGGACCGCAGCAACTCTCCCTGATAGCGGCAACATAATACTGAAAGCTTGTAGAGAGGCCTGCATACTTTTCTCTGAAATAAATTAAATACAATTTTATTTTAAAATCTGTGTCTTGAATTCCAAACTTTATTTTTTACAATCCTGTAAGAGCAAATATTTGTATTTAGACTTTTAAATGTTCGTTGCATGTTAATTAAATTTTGTATTCTGGTTTGATCATTAAATAAGGAAAATCCAATTTAATAGTTTCAAATTTTCATGAAGATATATTTCCTAAGACACCAAGTATAATCAAATCTTGTTAAATAATGTGCCAGAATGTCGTCCTTCCTAAATGTTCATAATCTTGGTCTATTGAAAGTAGATTTTGCCATTGGTGTTCCCCAATGGCTCTACCAGAAACAGGCTTTTCATAATCCCTAAAAATCTAATTTTTCAGTGAGCAAATCGCAAGTAAATCGTTTACTGAGAGATACAACAAAGATAGAGGACAGAGACCTCAGCATTGAAGTATATTTGGTGAGTGTTTAAAATTTTATTTTTCACATGTGGATTGAGCCAATTCATGCTACGTGAATTGACTCAATTCATGTATTATGCATAATACGTGTATTATGTTAAATTTAATAATAGTTTATTTTTATTTACTTGCAAAATAGTGGTGCAGTGTTTTGAAATTCAGCAGCATCCACTATTTTATGTCAATTCTCCAATTTTGACTTTTGTTGAAATATTGTGGTACAGAACTGCACTGATATTTTTAGTAAAATTTATAACATTCATATTTTGGGCCAGTAGTTTAGTTACTTAAATAAAATAAAATTCCAAAGTTTTAAATGCCTTTATGTATATACTGTACTGTATTACTGTATATGTATGTAATATTTTTGGGATTGCAAATTTTTGTAATGGCATTTTAGTATTTCAGTGATATTTTCAGCTTTACTCGTAAGTAGTAATGATTTCTTAGCTTAGCCCCTTGGTTGCTCCCCTAGGCATGTCCTGCTCTATCCTGGGCCTTGCACGAATGACCTCCTCTTCTCCGTAACCATTGAAAATCTTGGCAAATGTTGCTGACTAAACAAAATAAGGTAGTCAAGTTAAGCTGAGATGTTGAAGCTCCATCAGCTGACTCTCCTTGTATATGTTTTCATGCTTAACACATTTGTTGCCCCGGCGGGCGAACTGCCGCGCACCTCAAGATAGCCTGAGCAGTGTGCTTGAACTCTCTACCACCCACAAATGTTTATACTCTTTTTAGCTTTCTGACCTCAATTTTCGTGCTACATCGTTCAATTTGGTATTAAATTGTTCACAATAGAATGCTGTAAAGGGATATTTGCATATAAGAACATGTAAGTCTCGCTTTTCTATACTTTCGATGAAAATTCTAACTTTCCCCTCCTACATACTGTAGTTTCTTTCGATGCTTTCGTCATGGATTGGCTCTGTTCTAGATCAGTATCCATCTGGAAGTCAATTTACAGTGTTTATAAAGCCGGTAATAACAAATACCTGAAATAAAATAACCAGAATGGGGAAACTTTTAGACTCGAGGGGAGGTCGCGGCTGTCACGAGCGAGGTCACGAGAACGGTGAGCCTCCAGCGTGGGTGGGCGCCCACACAGCGGGGGTCAGGATGCCACGTGGGGTATACAGAGAATGGGAAGAAGTTGGCACTCATTTAAAAAAAAAGTACTATAGTTTTTGGACAATAAATAGAATTTTTTAAATTTTTTAAATTATAGACAGTTTGTGTCATCCCAGATACAGTATTTCGTATTTTGGTTTTATGATGGAATGTGCAATATTGGGCATCAAATGTGTTAATTTAAATTCACCATGGTACTGTATTAATTTAAGTGTCTTGGCCATTCTTCATTATCCAAACTATACTGATGCCCCTTGGCCTTGCTTCCAACACTTGAAGTTCACATTTTCCCCTTTCCTCAATATGCATACTGCTTCCACTGCTCTAGATATAATTCTTCAGCAATATGTATACAGTACTACTTATCAGGAAGAGGGGAATTTTCATCACTGATAAGTCTCCAAAATTATGGTAATATTCTTGTAATCATCCCCTTGGCTTATGCAGGCTTACTGTAGGGAGGTTGGCAGAGGTGATGCACACGACTGTTTATAAAGGCTCAATAGGTGCAGAGATTTTTATTTTTTTCCGTTGAGCAGGTGCATATTACCATAAATCAGCCGATGACTGTTTTTCACTCCTATTTGTTAAATGGCTATAAGCTTACTGTGGCAATGCAGCTTATGGGGAAAAACACAGCCAACACTGTATGGCTATAGTTAGGGGTTAGGTAATAGGAAAGCTGGCAGCTTAGTTTGTCTAAACACGCACATCTCTTCTGTTCCATTGCCCATGCAGCAAACCAGGTCAGTCCATACACAGTTTCCCTTTGCTTTCTATCTGTACTTTGATAATGAAAATAAATTAATAATTTATTTCTGGAAATAAATGCTGGTGCAGGTGTGTGAACTTGTTATGTATTAAAATTTTTTGTTTTAGGCGGTGTCTTCCTTAAAATTAAATGACATAATTGTAAATAATGGTAATATTTTTCCATTTTTTGTTAGTGTCTGCTCGATGATGATGTTTATGGGCCATTTGCTGACAGCATAAAGCAGTGAGTACTCAATAAATGTAGTCTAAACACATTATAGTTGCTCCCTAAGAAAAGGTCCTACTGTCTTCTGGGTTAGTCCAGTGCTTCTACTTTAGCTACAAAAGTCTTGTCTTGGCGTGAAATTTGTTGCAGGTGTGTGACTCGCTCTGTTTTGAAAGTGATTTTTTGTAAACTTGTAGCAACATTTGTTGCAGTTCTCTACATAGGTTCAAACTACACTACCAACCAGGAAATATAATTGTCTATAATGCGTTGATGGTCGAGAACAAACTGAATGTTGGTCAATTTTCTGACACCATTTTTCTCGTCAAGTATACTTGCTCTCTTCTTCCAACTTCTTTCCTGCAAAATGTGGATGGCACACAATAACTCGTCCTCCTATTTAGATACTACAGTAATACTAAATGTCAATTTAGATAGATAAAGTTGAACAGATACTTCCACTATTCAAATGCCTTATCATTGATAGTTGATTTAGTCTAGAAGCCTCTCATAAAATTAATAAATAAACTTGTAAAATTTCTCAATAAAAAAATAATGATATTCAGGGTGACCTCAATTATCCAGATCAATTGGTATCCAGAAATAATTGTTACGTTTGGATAGCTGAAAACTTGGATAATTTAACAAAGGAATGAGACAATTTTTCTGCATTATTTTTAACTTTGCTATTTATTTCAAAAGACACTTGTGCTAAAAACACCTGTAAGAGTATCTTAGTAGGAATTCACCAATGTGTATGTAGAAAACCAATGAAATATTTGTGATATTGGATAATGAAGTGTCAGCCACATCCAAATTGTGCCAAGACTTGATGGATAATGGGGGTGGAAAAGTGGAAATTTCTGTCTGGATAACAGAGAATCTGGAAAAGAGGGATCTGAATAATGGGGATCGCACGGTACATAACTATTGTCATGTTAATATTCTAGTAAAACCTGCTTATTTCTAATTTGAATGGCAAGCTTTCTCTATATGAATATGCTTCCCTTTTAAACCTTGCTTTTCATGACCAATTTTTCCTGCTTTGCAGTTCCGTAGGTCATGAATATGAATTTCTTTTGAGGCGAGAACTTGAAAAACTAAATATTAGCTACAAGAATGAAGACGATCTTCGGCTCAGAGGATACGACAAGACACCAGACATCAAACTGGACATTCCTATAGGTGGGAAATGTAGTCTTAATACTTCCACTTTAAACATGATTTTAAATGTATTTTACAATTATGTACTGCATATGATAATGGTAAAGGAGGCAGGAACATGACATTTAAGTTGTTAGACAAAATTAATATGTAAAATGTATGCCTCACAAGTCACTAAGAGCAGGATGTTCATAATATAATACGTTAAGATAGTGTTTGTTTATCCTGTAGGTGCTTTGTGCCTTGGTGACTGGTCAAGAATGATAGATATTAATTGGAAAACAATATTGAAAAACTTGTTTATTTAAAGTATAAAGAAACCTGTACAATTTATAGTGCGCATAAAACTACTGTGTATAGTATAGGTGGATAGTTTTAATTCATAGTGCTGTGTTTTTCTGTACACCAGCTGTTGATGGGAAGGTGGTCAACTGGATAGAGAGTAAGGCATCTTTTGGTGATGAGGAGAGCCATCGCACTTATCTCAAGGACCAGTTTTGGAGTTATTGGAACAGGTAAATGTATCATTAACTTTTTCCAGTAATGGTGTATTAAGGGATCTTGGAAAGACACTCGGTTGTTACTTGAGGGTCAATACCTTTTATGTAGTTAAGTACTGTGTATCTAGTTATGTTGTTGTACTTTATGTAGAGAAAATAAGGTCAGTGAGACGAACAAATTTACATAAGATGTAAGTACTGAAGGACCTACATGTTCCAGCACTTGGCCCTTTGACTAGTTTCTTGCAAAATGTGTTGGCACACATTTACAGAACAGTTGGTACACAGAAGGTTTAGTAGTTAGAAGGATAAGTTCTTAATTGATATATCTTGCAATATTATCCAGGCTATATACACTGCTTATCTTAAGACCAGGGGCCAGATTCGTGAAGCAGTTACGCAAGCACTTATGAACCTGTACATCTTTTCTCGGTCTTTGGCAGTGTTGTTTACAATTATTAAACAGTTACTGAGCTCCGAAGCACCAGGAGGCCGCTTATAACAATAACAACAGTTGATTGGGAGGTTTTCATGCTTGTAAACTGTTTAATAAATGTAAGCAAATCCATCAAAGATTGAGGAAAGATGTACTGTACATGTTCGTAAGTTACTTGCGTAACTGCTCATGAATCTGGCCCCAGGATCCTTAAGGATTTTAAATTATGTTTGCTGCACAATTCTTGTGTAAATTCCTCATTGGAAATATTTTTTTTTACTTGTGAAAATAATTAAGAGTATTCTATATATGTTATAATTCTGTTCTTGATGTGATATCATTGAAATATTTCATGACTTACAAAGTAAAATAATAACTTCAGTTTAACCATATTTACAAGTGTTAGAACTCCCACAAAGCATTCATGGGAATTTCCACATGAGAAGTTTACTTAAAACTTTAGTAAGGGTCTAATATCAAGCTGATGAGCTTCTTGTGGTGCTTCCTGAAGAATATGGGGAAAATATTGGGAAAGGGATATTTTTTCATTAATATAATCAATAATATAGTAACCAAAAATATCAAAGGAAGGAGGTGGTAGGAGAAAAGCACACAAACTGTATTGGAGGGAACCTAAACATTCCCTCTAATGTGTTGTGTGGTTTCCTCCGAGGCTAAGGGTCCCCTTCTTCCAGCCAGAGGCAGTAACAAATGTATTTTTTGTTTTTCCCCCTCAAGGTTTGGTCCGGGTCTAGTCATCTACTGGTTTGGATTTATTGAGGAATTGGATGAACATAGAGATAAAGGCATTATGCTACGAGACTCTTTTCCTTCCAATATAGTTTTTATGGACCCTCTCTCGATAGCTCAACGTAAGTGGAGATTTTTTTGTTACACATTAATTCAAACATACATTCTTGTGTTGGGTAAGATTTTTTCAATAATGACAATCCATGTCATAAATCTTCATTAATCAACTGATTTTCTGCATCTGTGTGCTTTATGATAGGCTAAGATGGCAAAATTTGCAATGGTTTTCATCTGATTGCAATAGAAGTGATACAGAATTGATGCAAAATGCACAACATTATAGATGGTATGCATATTGCTAGTCACTTTATTTACTTGTGAGTCTGTGAAGTAACTGAATGGATGATTGCATTAGCACACCCTTGGTCAGGGAGTACAGTCTCATCCTTGGTCAGAGAACATCAGTAAGTTATTTTAAGAGTTGTGTTCTCAACAGGATACTGCTGAGATTACATATTGATATTAGGACGAGGGAAAGTAAAAAGCAATTGGGCAAAGTGCTTGATAATTTTTAAAAGTACAGTACTGGATCCAGTCTATTTGGGTCTGTGAAGTAGGACCAGCAAGTAATAAAAGTACAATCAAAGAATGAAATGGTAGTACAAGTATGTACTATATGTACAGTATGTATAAAGACGGACGCTTCTGCCATTGACGAGTTGCACATTTTGAATGGCACTATCAGATATGGTAATAATTTGTTTACATAAGGCTTCAACTTGCATTATAATAAACAATATGTTATACATGATAGTCTCTCATGGAAGAAAAAAGTTGGCCATGTTCTCTCTTCTAACTAATTTTTTATTTTTTTTTACAGCAACTTGCGATACTAAGACGACTGTCGAGCCATGCTGAAAGATGAAGCAAGAGCCTGTGAAGAAATGCCGAACCACTGACACACACACACAATACACACGACTGCACAGTAAACCTCGTAAGCTACAAGGTGAAATGCATTTAGAGTACTCCGGTAGTTTTTATGATAAAGTTAAAGGCCATTCCTTCATATCCACACACGCTGCGTCTCATTTACGTCTGGTTATCTACCACCTGTTTGTACCAGTCTTGTCCTTCATGTAATAACGGTTGTGTACTCATTATAACTGTAAGCAACAAAATCTTGGTGGAGAACTTTTATTAACCATCAATGAAGTAAGGACTACTTTCAACTATTCTTTTCAGTATTCTGTAAATATTTAGTTTGAAACTGCTTAATAATGTACTGGTATTTGCTGGTGCTCGTGGTAAAACATTTTAGGCAAATTAGCTATTCATCTGATAATACAGTACTGTAGCATGCTGCTTATTGCACGTAATGAAACAGCATAAGCTACTAGAGTATTCAAACAGTTTAATCTTATTAAACTGCTGAATACTTATGTAACATATTCATTTATGCTCAACGAGCAGCATTGGAAAACATTTTGCTGCATAGATTTGGAAAAAAAATAGTAGTACAGACGAGGATTTGCCCGCAACTCTAGGAACACTGTTGTTATTATTATCAGCATCCTGGTCAATAAATTCTAAATATGAATCATTTTGCATAAGTTTATATTGTTAGGCTGTAGATACAAGCTGAACAGCAGTACTGTTAGCTCATGCTGCCTGTGCCACTCTTGGTTAGTTACTCAGTACAGTACTGATGCTTATCACACCCAGGAACGGTGTCCACGATTTTTTGTTTTTTCTCAAGATGGTGTTCGTTTGCTTTTGGTTTTCTCTCCCATTCAGTAGACATGTATGATGGGCACAGGGAACGGGTTAAGCTAGGGATTTATGTGATTAGTTGCTTTTGGAAAAGGAAATATCAATAAGGGGATATTAATTTTATTTTATTGCGGACCAATTAAGTTTCAAATTACACTATAAATCAAATTCAACAGATCCTGTTAAATACAAGGCTACAGTGTAAGTACTGTACTTTTGTAAATGTATATAAAGAAAATCATTAACTGTTATATTGCAATTACTGTATATGCATACAGGTGAGACATGTTATTGCATGAATACAGCATGCATGAAGCTGTATGCATATGTTATGCACACTGTTGTATGCATATGTTATGCACACTGTTGTATGCATATGTTATGCACACTGCTGTTTACATAAATACATATAGCTGTAGAAATAGTCATAGGCATACCAGAATATTGGCATATTATACAGGAATACAGCAGTCACTCGGCTGTCTGTTTGTCTGGGTTGGGGGGGGGAGGCCAGGCCCTTGGGAATTCTTAATAGGCTGCAACATCCGACTCGACTCACTATATTGCTTCTGTTGTAGTCTCTGATGCATAAAGTTAACATGTAATTCATTTAGAACAGCTTCGGGCCTTACTATGATGGTTTACTGCTTGCTCAACACAGAACCATTCTCACACCGCATCTAAACTTCACACTCTCGGCATCGGGTAAATTCCCCGTCGGCGCCCAGACAGTGAGAACCTCGCCCTTACGCTCCACACGCGTAAGTATTAATTCCTACGCCCTCCCATGCTGCTCAATGCTTATGAAACAAGCACGGTTCTAAGAATTGGTTGTATAAAGGAAGCCGCTCTTTTCCTCGACCCTCAGTCGTTTAGGACTGTGCTGTCAACTTGCGGTACATGTGACATAATGTTATGAAACTGTGAATCCAAACATGCCCAGGTGCTGAGCTCATGACTCTAGTTCGAGTTCAAGTACATTAAAGACAATAAAATACATCTCGAAGGGATAGAGTAGCTTAAGCTATTTCTACCCTCCTCTACTTCAAGGAGCGCACAAATCCAGTGAATAAATCCACAAAGTCACAGTACAAGAATCACATTTAACACTGCAGGTTAATATAGTAAACACAGCATATAAGTGTTGCACTCTTAGGGAAAAGTGCTTGTAGCTCTTAAGTATTCTGTCTATCATACCATTATCACGTATCCAAACAATTTGATGTGGTACACTACTTATTGATAACTATAGAAATAAGGAAATAAGTTGACACACTAATACATAATGAACTAAGGTGTGGGCGTGCGGCATACTACATAATTTACACTCCTTATCTTTTTCACTGACATCAACACTGTATTGCCAGATATATTTGTATCCTAATCTTAATCTCATGTCAACTGAATCCTTCCATGTAGACTTTCCTCTACCATAAGTGAAGGAAGAATTTGTGTTAATGATTACATAATGCTTAAGTGTGTTACTGCTGTCCACCATTACTGTTCTCTTAACTTTTGCTTCATCCTCTTGGATCATCTTGATTCTTGTTTGAATTTTCCAAGTTTTCTGACATACAACATCAACAAGTTTTTTCCGAGACTCTCTTTGCTATCTCGTCAACTCCCTCATTCAATAATATACCCCATGTGAAGGGATCCACATGAATCTTACTTTATACATTTTTTTTTTCAAATGTCTTGACATTCTCTCTACACTCGATCACAATATTCTGGTAAACTGGTCATCTGCTATTTAAAGACTCTAACGCTCTTCTACTGTCAATAAAGAACAGGCATTTTTACCACATTTGACTACTTCCTGTAATCCTGCTAATAAACCTTTTAGTTCAGCCTGCGTTGAAGAGACATTGTATGTTAAGCTGAACTATCGACAACGAGAGGGTTATTAAGGCCACCACAGTTCCTTGCTGACCAACCAGTAATGTACTTTATTCCTGAGCATAAGCCATCACTAAAGTAAACTCGGTAAATATCCACATTACTAAGGTATTCCCTATATTCACATTGCTATGGAACTTCTTTATAATTTAACACTATTATTAATGCCCATTGTCAGGCACAGGAAGTCTGTGTGTGTGTATATATATACATATACAGGTGTATATACTTTAAGTTTGTATCAATTCCCCCCCATTCCCCCCAAGGTCAAACTACTGACCCTTCCCAGGATGCAACACCACAACACTTGCCTAACTCTCTAGGTACCTATTTACTGCTAGGTGAACAAAAGGATTAGGTGAAAGGCAACATGCTCAACCATTTCTATCCCGACCTGGAATCGAACCCAGGATCCCCGATTGTGAGTTGAGAACGAAGCCAACTGTACTAAGAGACCCATGTATGTAATGTACGCGTGTGCGTGGTCTCATTTATTTCAGTTTGTGGGATTGAGCTTCAGTTTCTGGACCCCACCATGTATGCTTTTGGTCTTCTAAAGCATTCACTTCAAATCCCATCAACTCGTTTTGTATCATCACCTGACATTGTATTCACCTAGTTGTGTGTGTGGGGGTTGAGCTTTGGCTCTTTGGTCCTGCCTTTGAAGAGTGTCAGCTGGTGTTCAGATTCCTGAGACTACTGGGCTCTCTCTCTCCTCTGTCTGCCTCCACCACATCACTGCCTAATGCATTCCATAGTGATTCCACTGAAAACATTCTTTCTAATATCCTTGTGGCTCAAATGGGTACCCAGTTTCTACCTGTCCCTGCCTTGTTCGCATCTCATCCGTGCTAAACAGCTTATCTTTATCTACCCTGTTAATTCCTATGAAAATTTTATAAGTAGGGATCATTTCTCCCAAAAAGTCATGTTTAGATAAGCCTATTCTCAGCCACCCTTCCCTTTGGCCCATATATAGCTTCTAGTTTCCATCATGTCCACTTTCCCATTCAGAATATCTCGTGTTTTTCTACACTACCGGTCTTCCTGTAGATTTTGTATTTTGTAATCATGGCACCTCTCCTTTTTCCAGCGTTGTAAGAGGGAGTTCTTTCAATATTTATTGATAGTTCTTTCCCTTTAGTTCCAGGACCAGCATTGCAGCAGTCGTCTGTATCTGGAACAGCTGTGTTTCTTCTTGAAGGAACGTTGTGCAAGAGCGCTTATTTTTGCAATGGTCTCCCGTAGGTGCTGTACAGTGTTATAAACACTTTATCCGGGTTTTTGAAGGCTGTATTGTTGTTCGGTAGGCATTCCCCTGACACTACCTTGTTTATATGTTTCTCTAGAGCAAGGCTCAATGTTTTGTCTCTTCACCTGGGCTGTATGGGTTTAGATCCGTGGACAGTACGCATGTGAAGCAGATGCTCTATCAACATGGCTATGAGCAGTCTTTAAAAGCAAAGTTTTCAGAAAAAGCATCCTGCTGCCAAACTGTATCTGAATCTAATAATTTCTCTGCCTAAGAGGACATACCTTACCAAGGAGGAAAAAGCATTGCCCGGACACAAGCCTATGAAAGATAGGTTTCCGCTTGTGCTGTGTTCAAATGCGACTTCAATTGTGTTCAAATGCAATTAATTTCAAATGTGGTGCTTTGAAATTAAACCCTTGGTTGTGTATCATTCTGAAAATCCAAGGGTTTTCAAACAGTATAAAGTGAAAAAAAAACAAATGTTTGTGATGTGGAGGGCTAATAATAAGGCATGGGTGACTAGGGTTTTTATTTTTTTTGGAGTGGGTGAATGAAGTGGTGTGCCCTGCCATAGAAAAATATCTGCAGGAGAAACATTTGCCACTCAAGGCCCTGCTTCTTCTCGACAATGCTCCTGCTCATCCTCCAGGCTTGGAAGATGAATTGTTGCACAGATACAGTAATTTTCTCACAGTAAAGTTCCTTCCTCCTAACACCACTCCTCTAATTCAGCCTATGGACCAGAAAATCATAGCGAATTCTAAGAAACTTTATGAAAGGGCACTTTTCCGGAAATGTTTTGAAGTGACTGAAGCCACAAACCTCACCCTCAAAGAGTTCTGGAAACACTATTTTAACATTTGTAGTGCTTTAAAACTCATTGACAAAGCCTGGAAAGAAGTGACTTAAAGAACCCTGATCTCTGGCTGGAGAAAATTGGGGCCTGAATGTGTGACAGAACTAGACTTTGAGGGGTTTGAGCCTGTAAATGATTTCCTCAACTATTGTTGAGGAAATTGTTACTCTGGGGCGGCAAATGGGGTTGGAATTGGATTTTGCTGATGTGGAGGAGTTGGTGGAAGAACACAACGAAGAACTGACCACCGAAGAACTCCAAGCTCTTCAAAAGGAACAGCAAGAAGACACAGCTGAGGATGTTTCTCCAGTGGAGGAGGACAAGGCAGTACAGAATGTCCCTTCCACAACCATTAAGAAGTGATGTCAGATGTGGGAAGAAATGCAAACTTTTATTGA